AATAAGTAAATTATATAAAAAGCAACCCCTGTAGCCACTGGGCTATGTATAAAGGAAAAGGCTTATGTGAATTAGTATATTAACTGAATTTGTGAAAAATAGTGAATCGGCAAACCACTGCTATTTTGCTTTCCTAGATTTAGCAGCAAGCTTCAGATTTTGCCTGTCTGGAAAAGAAAGGTATTTCAGTGTCTGAAACTACTCATCTGACTACTGAAATTAACTGCAACAATCGGTCACCGCAAGTACTTTTTATCTAAGTCGCTCTCTTAAAGCAGTGAAAATAAAATTACAGAGAGCTCAAGGCTCTACAGTAAATTTTGACAGACAGGTACTAGAAAGTAACTTGCTTTTTTCCTCCTTTCACCTATTGGAAGGCTGCAGCCTCTGGCATGCTGGCTAGGGCGGCCACGATGCGCTCATCCTTTGAGAAGGTTGCACCAATTTTTTGCCTATTTTCACTTTGGGCCTGATCCATGGCTTGGTGAAGCTGATGGAAGTCTTTCCAGGGACTTCTGTGGAACTTTAGAATTAGGTGTAAGCTAAAGGTTTACACTTTGCAACAGTTTAACACGCGCCTTCTTCTGGAAAAGCAATACCAATGCCTCCAGAGGAGGGAAACTGCCCTTAAAATTGCATTAAAAATACTAAAGTGAGTTCTGTTGGGAATTAGGTTTAAGAATAATGCATTGGCACCAGTGTCTTGCTAGAGGACTGTGCCTGGCTAGCGCCAGTACTCATGCATGGGCCTTGTTGGACTTGCAGAGGATTGTGCCTGTATTTTGAACGACACGGCCCGGTCGAGACGGTGCGAAACCCAGCGAGGGCATTGGGGAGAAAGAACTTGAAGTGCTTGTGTTAGATGGAGTTGCTTGGCTTGAGCCTCAGAAGAGTGGAGCAAGAGTTAGGAGCAAGTGCTCCTAACCCAGGTGTATCAAAAGACGTGCTACCCACGTGTATCAAAAGACTGCTTTTCTTGCTTTTTTTTCAGAACAGCCTGGAAGGCAGGGATGCCCCCCCTCCCTTTAGGTATCAGCTGCAGGCTTCATTCCCCTTGCCTGGGGATGAAACTCAAATTTCCCACTTTCAGCCTAAATGTCCGAAACTGGCCTTAGGCCATTATTCAAAAACCGGCTGGTCCTCCAGAAGAGAGCGGGCAGTTCTTCAGCGGAGGCAGGTGTCCATCTGGCCTCCAGGGAAGACGCTGGCCTTCGAACCACAAGCGGCTGGTGCTGCTCCTTGGCAAGGCCAGCCCCAGCATGGCCGCGTGCAGCGCGGGGGCCGCTCAGCCACACGCCTGTCCCGGGTATCGCCCAGCCGATGGCGAAGGACCTTTGCAAGCTGGGGCCTTGATGGGATCGTCCCCTGTGCGCAGCGTGCCCGTGTAGCCGCCGCGGAGACCACGCTCTGCCGCCGGGGATGCTGGGGCGGAGGGGAGGGGGCAGTTTGCAAAAAGTTGCCCCTAGTTTAGCTACCTAATGTCTTTTTGACCTAGTCTTAAAGTCTTGGGCCTAGCCTTAAAGTCAAGAGTGTCATCCCCCTCCTTTTTCCTTCGTAGCTGTTAGCAGTTGCTGGCCTCATGCCCAACATCTGCTGGCTGAAGCTGGCAGTGCCCGACGGTGACGGCGATTTCCCTCTGCTCCTCCCTCCCGCTTTTCTAGCACGAAACGGGGCGCGCATCATGCTGCTGCTACTCAGCGTTCGGCGCGTTGGCTTCTCAGTAATACTTGACAATCTCGGTGCATAAAATCTGTTGGGCCCATTCCACTCTAGTGATTACGGGTGTGTTATCTGTCTTCACGCAGAAGCTCCGAGTTTCTGTGTTTTTAGGCCCCTGGCTTGTTTTTTCTCCCCCCACTTTGCACCGCGGCCTCCATCCCTCCCACTCCTCGCACGGCTGCCCGTCATACAAGCAGCGACACGAACCTCAGGGCTCTTTCATCCAGGAGAGGACGAGTTGCAGGGGTGGAGGAGCTGCGAAAGCCTGCCTTGCAGCGCGC